GAAACGGATTACTCAGTATCAAATCTAAGGTACATATGGTATTTGGGGAAAAAATAGAGTGGTGGAATAGAATACTAAAAAAAAAAAAAAAAAAAAAAAAAAAAAAACTGTAAAAGCTACTGAAATTAGGATACAAATATTTAGAAAACTTAGTGGTTGAAATTTAACACCAAGATAAAAACTAACTACATATGCATACAGCCCATTGTTTAATAATAAATGATGGAAAATATCTGGATAATACACTATGGAGGACCATTCAGTATAAGCACTTACTAAAAGAATTATTACTGACAGTCAACCATGAAAAAATAATTATATTAGGAGATTTTAAATGTAAAGAAACAGACTGGATGGTCTGTGAGAATGGCATAGAAAACAACTGGTCAATGGTCAACTAAACTTCTCAATACAGTAAAAATCTTTTTTATGCACCATGTTAAAGAGGAAACACAAGTGAGAGAAGGAAACACAATGGCTATCTTCCACAGAGGTAGGGTGACCTTAATAATGGGAAAGATATTTACCATCATTCATTCAATCACTGTCTGGCAAGTGTGTTGATATCACAGTTCAAGTGATTCTCCAAACTGTACCATCTCCATCTGTCCTTTAACCCTTAAACTATCCAAATGTAGATCAATGTTCACTCGCATAGCGCTATGATTGTACTAGATCTATGTTTTATTTTACATGCTTTCAAATGTAAAAAAATGTAGATTTACGTTCGGAGAGCTACGCGAGTGAACGTAGATCTATTTTTGGACAGTTTAAGGGTTGAAGAGCAGACATATTACTATACTTGTACCAACTGATGACTCAAGTCCAGCTAACCTGTGTCCTAAATTTCTTCATAAATGTTACCATGCTGAGACTCCAACAGCACATGAAACCATGAAAAACACTTGTCTCCACACATTCCATTCTAATGCGGTGCTTACACAAGCTTGTTGGACATTCAAGCCCTGGCACTCAAACCCTCCTTTACCTTCTCCCTACAACCCTTCCTGGGCTGACCTCTATCCCTCCTTCTTTCCATCCCAGATTTATATATCTTCTTATAATAACAAGGTATTAAAAGAACCCCAATGGAAATAAGTCACTTTGACTTTTTTGGGTTATCCTAGGTTCTCTACACATATGCTGCTATGTATGATAATCTATATAACTGAATTTGTGTAGACCTGAATAAATTTACTTACTAATCATCCCACTCTGCTCCATCTTCTCTAAATGCCTAAACTATCTCAATAACCCCTCCTCAGACTTCTGAATTAAACTTTTGATAGCCCCACATTATCTTCTCATCTTCACACTCCAAATTCTCCTCATAATATTCACACCACACATTGCTTTCAGATGTGACATCTCCATTGTATATGTCTCTCTCTCACAGCAATATTTAACCCTTTCAGGGTTTCCGACGTACTAGTACGGCTTATGCACCAGGGTTATTGAAGTACTAGAACGCATAAATTCTAGCGCCTTCAAATCTAGTGAAAGCTGGTAGGCCTACATCTGAAAGAATGGGTCTATGTGGTCAGTGTGCACAGTATAAAAGAAATCCTGCAGCACACAGTGCATAATGAGAAAAAAAACAACCTCCGACAGTGTTTTTGGTTTAAAACAGCGACTTTGCAGTGCATATTTTTGTATGGTATTTATGGTTGTATTCTAGTTTTCCTGGTCTCATTTAATAGAATGGAAGACATACTACAGAAATTCAGATGATTTTGATTGGTTTCATAATGAAAAGTACCTTGAAATTGAACTCAAAGTAGCAGAAATGTTTCGATTTTTACCAAATTTCAAAAGTAAACAAATCATGCCAAGCGTCCAATACACGTCAACTGGTGAGTCTAATATTCTTTCACAAGTGCACTGATATTATTTATACCATTTCTACACCATTTCTATACTAATGCAGTAGTCTGCATAACAGTAAATCTTCTATTTTTTTGTGAGAATAAAAATTCAAAGTGGAAAGCAAAAGAGATGTAAGAGGGGCCTGGGGACGTGACTAAGGAACAGAGAAAATGTTATTTTAGTGCCAGGAATGTCTGTCTTGCTCATTTTGGACCCTATTTGGAAATTGGCATCTTCTGAAATTTGTGTGAAATTGGCAAAACTGTCAATTTCTGACCACTTTATTGGATACTTGTAATTGGTAAATGGGTGGTTTCTTGTATTCATTCGATAGAAAAAATGAAGTTCTAGTGAAATAGATATGATTTTTGTCGACTAGTGCACCGAAATTAGCCGAAAATAGGGCTCAAAGTGGGCGAAATTACTGATGTGTAAACATTGTCGAGATCGCTAGCTTCCCTAAGTTTTCCATCAAATTTCATACTTTTGGTGTCATTATGATCGGGAAAAGATTCTCGATCATTTCATGAGAAAAAATAATTTTTTTTTTCTGAAAAATTTTCAACCCTGAGAACAAGTTTAGGAGAAGGACCTCTCGACCCTGAAAGGGTTAAAGCCTATGCTTCCCATCTATATAAAAGTGTGGCGCCACTACATTCTGGTACACTTTCTCCTTTTGCCTCCATAGAGAAACTTCATTTTTTCCACATATGCCTCATCACACCATCTACCTTGTTTTCCTTCTCATCTATTCTATAGTTCACTTCATCTTTCACAGACCCGTTCCCTGACATGTCCACATGTATAAATTATATTATTCATACACACATTGCTCTTACTGTTTAAAGCATGGACTAGAATCATTGCAGCAAGGCAGAATCTAGAGGCGATGAAGATGTTATATCTGAAAGCAACGTTTGGTATGAATATTACGCAGAGAATTTGGAGTGTAGAAATTAGATGGTGTGGAGCTATCAAAGCTGTAATTCAGAGGGTTAATTTGGTTTAAGTATTTAGAGAGGGTAAAGCAGAATAAGATGACCAAGAAGGTGTATAAATCTAGGATGGAAAGGAGGAGGGAAATAAAGGATGTCCTAAGAAAGTTGGTAGGAAGGAATAAATGAGGTTCTGAGTGCTAAAGGTTTGAGCATGTAGAAGGTTTATGTAAGCATGTTAGATTAGAGTGCATGGAAACAAGTGGTTTTTATGGCTGGACATGTTGCAATGTGAGCAAGGTAACATCTATGAAGAGATTCAGGGAAACCGTTCAGTCAAACTTACACCCTGGAGATGAAAAGTACAATGCCTGCATTCTGATGGAGAGGTGAGGATGTTGCAGTTCAGAGGATCATTTAACCCTTTGACTGTTTTGGTCGTATATATACGTCTTACGAGCCAGTGTTTCGGATGCATTAATATGCATAAATTCTAGCGGCTTCAAATCAAGCAGGAGAAAGCCACATGTGAGAGAATAGGCCTGTGTGGTCAGTGTGCACCACATAAAAAAATACTGCAGCACGCAGTGCATAATGAGAAAAAACTGACCGCTTTTTTGGATTAAAATGCCGACTTTGAGGTGTATTTTCGTGTAGTATTTATCTTTGTATTCTCATTTTCATGATCTCACATGATAAAATGGAAAACATATTACAAAAGTAGAGATGATTTTGATTAGTTTCACGATGAAAACGACCTTGAAATTGAGCTCAAAGTAGCGGAAATGTTTGATTTTTACCAATGTTCAGGAGTAAGCAAATCACACCACACGTCCAATACACGTCAACTGGGGAGTCTGATATTCTTTCACTAATGCACTGATATTATTTATACCATTTTTACAATAATGCATTAGTCTGCATAACAGTAAGTTTTGTATTTTTTATATGAATAAAAAATCAAAATAGAAGGCAATAGTAATATAAGAGGGGCCTAAAGACATGACTAATGAACAGAGGATATGTTATTTTAGTGCCAAGAATGTCTACATTGTTTATTCTGGACCCTATTTTGAAACTGGCATCTTTTTCAATTTGCATGAAATTGGCCAAATTGCCAATTTCTGACCACTTTATTGGGTAGTTCAAATCGGTAAATAGGCGGTTTCTTATACTCAAATGATAGAAAAAATGGAGTTACAAAGAAATAGCTATGAGTTTGGTCAACTGGAACAACGGAATTGGCCAAAAACAGGGCTCAAAGTCAGCAAAATCGCCGATGTGTATATGTTGCCGAGACCGCTAACTTCGCGGGAGCGTAATTCCGTGAGTTTTCGACCAAATTTTGTACTTTTGGTGTCATTACCATCGGGAAAAGATTCTTTATCATTTCATAAGAAAAAATAATTTTTTTTTCCCAAAAATTTTGCAACATAGAATGACAGTTTCAGAAAGGGGCTTGCGACAGTCAAAGGGTTAAAGTGTGATATCTGTACACTTCTGCCAAGACAACTAATGAATGAAATGATTTTTAAAGTGGTTTCTTTAGTGGGTCACCCTACTTTGGTTTGATAAAAAAAATTTTTCTCATATCTCACATTCGAATCTGTATTCTGAAGAGATTTTATAATACAGTACGTAGTTACAAATTCTCTTAGTTAGCAACATTTCTGATAACTAACCTAATATCTGGTACTGAATATGTAGTTTCATATACACCATGTAATCAATAACTTCTAATTTAAAGAAATCAGTCAAGAGATAATAAAGCTAGCAATCAGTATCTGCTATATTATTTGATGCTTGTTCTTCCAAGCTCAAGAAACCCAGCTTATATGGCATTCAGATTAACAGCATTCCATATTTAATAAAGTAAATAGCTTGTAGCATTTCTGACAATATTTGTCAATTTTGCATTTAAAATACACAGAATGATATTCTGTGTGGCTGTAACTAAGCAGACATTCATGGTGCAATATGCTCCTCAATCAGATGAAATTACTGCAAGAAGAAAAGCAATAACATATCCAAGTTATACTGAATTTGCAAACCCGACCATGCATCTCAAAAAATAATCAATTAGAGATTTTGACATGATGTGCAGTTTCATGTCTACTAAGGCTTATAGCAATACCTACAGGCATCTTGCAGTCATGCACTCTACCTACATGAGCCCTGGATATCCTGAGAGCACCTTACCAGTATCTGCAACCACTCCTGGGCCTTCACTCTTTTCTTGTTCCTTTATGGGGGCAGATTTTTTCTCAGGAACAGGAATGCTGGGGATTTCTTTGGTTGGGACAGAAGCAAGGGGGGGTTCTGGGACTGTTGAAGGGGGAGTGGATGGAGTGGGTTCAGAGATGGTAGCAGGAGTAGAGGAATCTATTTCTGCCTCACCCTTTTCCTTTGGACCACCATCCCCATCATCTTTTTTGAGTGCTGTCTTCAAAATCTGTGGAAAATAGGAAATACAGCTGATGTTTTTTTTTAAATGGTAAATTAACTAATTTCTCATTCTGGTTTCTTAGAATAAGCAGAGGAAAATATTTTCCACAACCCTTCCTCCACCCTCTGATTAATACTTTTGGTAACCCCACACCTAATCTTCAAGCTCTGAATTCTCTGCATCATATTCACACCACGTACTGCCCTCAAATATGGCATCTCCACTGCCTCCAGCCTCCTTTATGATGTGACATTTAACAACCTATGCTCCACATCAGTATAACAAGTGTTGGTACCACTATACTCTGGTACATTAGTCTATGCCTCCATGGGTAAGGTTCTTTGTCTTCACCAATGCCTCAATGTCCCATCCACCTTCTCCCCCTCATCAATTCTATAGGTCACCTTATCTTTCATAAGCCCATCTGTTGATACACCCATTCCCAAATATCAAAACATAATTACGTACTTCCTCCATGCTCCCTCCCTTCAATCTCATATCCAGTCTTTCATTGCATAGATTACTTGTTACTGTCATTACCTTGCTCTTTCCCATACAGTGGCTCCTTGAGTTACATTGGTTTCAAGTTATGAGTTACGAATTAACCTTAGAAAGGAATTTAGTTTTGAGTTGTGATAAAAATTTGAGATAAAATATGCATATGATGGTCAGCCCAAGTAGGTGGGCCTTAATCCAGAGAAAAGACAAACTGATGGAAAGGTCTTGAATGGAGTGATGGTGAAGGTGTGTGTTAGAGGTGAAGGGAGGAAGGGAGGATGCATAGGAGGAAGGAAGGGATCGGATGGTAGGTGGGAGTAAGGGAGGATGCGAGGAAGGCAGGCAGATGCAGGCAGCAGGAGACTGTGACATGGGTGTAAATACTGTCTACAATTCTTTATCAATCTCTGCCTTCCCTGCCCTGCTTGCCCAATCCTGGCTTACCCTGCCTGCTCTGGCCCATCCTGCCCAGCTTGTTCTGGCCTGTTGTACTTTGCCTGCTCTGGCCTGTCATACTCTACCTGCTCTGGCCTGTCCTGCCCTGCCTGCTCTGACCTGTCATGCCCTGCCTGTTCTGGCCTGTTGTACTCTGCTTGCTCTGGCCTGTCCCGCCCTGCCTATATCTACTAACCTTTGCAACTTCTCTTCAGAATCTTCTACAAGAACGATGTCATCAGCAAACTGCAATTGTAACAACTTCCACTTTATATCAAATTTATTATCTTGTAATCCCACACCTCTTCCAACACCCTAGTGTTAGAAGAGGTGACAACACACATCCATATCTAACGCTTACTGGAAAAATAATTCTCTCAGCCTTGCTATGCACATAAATTTTTTTTTATTACCCTTTAATAACCTATCACCTATTCCATACATTTGCAACATCTGCCACATTGCTCCCCTATCAACCCTACATTTCTTTATAAGTGTATATTGCAATTTTTAATCTAAATGTTGAAATAAAATCTGCCTTAACTCACAAAGGACACTACAAATTGTCTTTACTGTAATTCTCTTTTAACTGAAAGTACAAAACAACATATATCTAGTCATAATTAAATTTGCTGGGTCATCATATCTCAAGGTCCTTCATTGGGAGACACTTTTCAGTTTCATGTAAACAAAATACTATACCAACACCATCCATTTACTAAACAAGCCTTTATGGCAGAATACAAAAACCTTTGTACTTATCCATAAAGGCTTGTATAGACAAATATGCACTCACCCTGAGTGTTAATGTCAGCTTGAGAGAAGCCAGCCCTCCACTTGCACCACTTAAGGAGTACTCCTCATTCTTAACTTCCATGTTACGCTCCTTCAAGAACACATTCAGGTCCAATTCAATCTTACCTTGTACCAGACTTGTCTTATGGTCAATGACCTGAAATGTATTATAAAATTAATTAATCTTAAAACATTCTATACAGTGACATTATACAGTACGCAATATTTTTTAACATCAAGTTCAGTTACATTAGTTAGTGCAATATAAAACTTAAAATGTATATATTTTTTTTTTTCAACAAGTCGGCCGTCTCCCACCAAGACAGGGTGACCCAAAAAGAAAGAAAATCCCCAAAAAGAAAATACTTTCATCATCATTCAACACTTTCACCTCACTCATACATAATCACTGTTTTTGCAGAGGTGCCCAGATACAACAGTTTAGAAACATATATAAAAATATATAATATATCTATCCAAACTGCCAATATCCTAAACCACTCCTTTAAAGTGCAGGCATTGTACTTCCCATTTCCAGTACTCAAGTAAAGCTATATAAAAATAACCGGTTTCCCTGAATCCTTTCACTAAATATTACCCTGCTCACACTCCAACAGCTCGTCAGGTCCCAAAAACCATTTGTCTCCATTCACTCCTATCCAACATGCTCACGCACACTTGCTGGAAGTCCAAGCCCCTCGCCCACAAAACCTCCTTTACCCCCTCCCTCCAACCTTTTTGAGGACAACCCCTACCCTGCCTTCCTTCCCCTACAGATTTATATGCTCTCCATGTCATTCTACTTTGATCCATTCTCTCTAAATGATCAAACCATTTCAACAACCCCTCTGCCTAATACTTTTATTAACTCCACACCTCCTAATTTCCACACTCCGAATTTTCTGCATAATATTTACACTACATATTGCCCTTAAACAGGACATCACCACTGCCTGCAACCACATCCTCGCTGCAGCATTTATAACCCAAGCTTCACACCCATATAAGAGAGTTGGTACCACTATACTTTCATACATTCCCTTCTTTGCCTCCATACATAACATTTTTTGTCTCCACATATACCTCAATGCACCACTCACCTTTTTTCCTTCATCAATTCTATGGTCAACCTCATCCTTCATAAACCCATCCGCTGACACATCAACTCACAAATATTTGAAAACATTCAATTCTTCCATACTCCCTCTCTCCAATGTGATATCCAAGTTTTCTTTATCTAAATCATTTGATACCCTTATCACCTTACTCTTATCCATGTTCACTTTCAACTTTCTACCTTTACACACCCAAACTTGTCCACTAGCCTTTGCAACTTTTCTTTAGAATCTCCCATAAGCACAGTATCATCAGCAAAAAGTAACTGTCAATTTCCATTTTGCAATTGATTCCCCATAATTTAATCCCACCCACCTCCCAACACCCTAGCATTTACTTCTTTTACAACCCCAACTATAAATATATTAAACAACCATGGTGACATTACACATCCCTGTCTAAGACCTAATTTTAACGGGAAGTAATCTCCCTCTCTTCTACACACCCTAACCTGAGCCTCACTATCCTCATAAAAACTCTTTACAGCATTTAGTAATTTACTACCTATTCCATATACTTGAAACATCTGCCACATTGCTCCCCTATCCACTCTATCACATGCCTTTTCTAAATCCACAAATGCAATGAAAACTTCCCTACCTTTATCTAAATACTATTCACATATATGCTTCAATGTAAACACTTGATCTACACATTCCCTACCCACTCTAAAGCCTCCTTGCTCATCTGCACTCCTACTTTCTGTCTTACCACTAATTCTTTCAATAATAACCCTACCGTACACTTTTCATGGTATACTCAGTAAACTTATTCCCCTATAATTTTTACAATCTCTTTTGTCCCCCTTCTCTTTAGATATAAAGGAACTTTACAAGCTCTTTGCCAATCCCTAGGTACCTTTCCCTCTTTCATACATTTATTAAACAAAAATATCAACCACTCCAACACTATATATCCCCCTGCTTTTAACATTTTTGCCATGATCCCGCCAGTTCCAGCTGCTTTACCTTCTTTCATTCTATGTAATGCTTCATGCACCTCCCCCACACTCACATCCTGTTCTTCTTCGCTCCTAAAAGATGTTATACCGAGTCACACTGTACCTCAACTCTCTTCTCTTATTATAATAATAATAATAATAATAATAATAATAATAATAATAATAATAATAATAATAATAATAACATAATAATAATAATATCTTTATTTCTAAAAGTACATGTACAAGGTATACAATATCATATTTATTAATTTGTTTACACATACTTCTGTATAACTACAGAATCTACAAAATCATATACTGTGCTCATAATCTTTCTATGCACAACAACCTACAGTACTTTTATTACCTATCATAATGCCATGTACAGTATCATTAACACTCTTGCTTCTTGGCTCAGTACCTACATACACTACTGGAAATCCTAAATTGAAAATGCAAAATCTTATACAGTGAATACCTATTGTATTTGTCACTGTCTATTTAAGTTTGGAGGGAATGAGCTCTAGCTGTCGGTTGTGCTTCTTAGATTACAACTGACTCACATGAATTAAACTTCTGTATGGTTCAACTTTGACCATCATTGTCTAGGTCAGCATTACTAGCTTGCTGAACCCAACAAGAGTTATCCAACAAAATTATTTATTTTTAACATGTTGGCCATCTCCCACTAAGGGGCTCTGGTGGCCTGGTGGTTAACGCTCTCGCTTCACACGGTGAGGGCCTGGGTTCGATTCCCAGCCAGAGTAGAAACATTGGATGTGTTTCTTTCCACCTGTTGTCTATGTTCCCCATCAGTAAAATGGGTACCTGGGTGTTAGTCAACTGGTGTGGGTCGCATCCTGGGACACTGACCTAAGGAGGCCTGGTCACAGACCGGGCCGCGGGGGCGTTGACCCCTGGGACTCTCTCCAGGTAAACTCTCCAGGTAAGGCAAGAAAAGAAAAGAAAAAAAAAAAAAACACGCATCCATCATTATTCACTCAACACCTGCAGCAATGTCCCCTCACTCATCCTTGCAATTTCTTTAAAAAATACTGTCAATTATACCTCAATTTTGAGTTCTTGTGTACGTGGGTTTCGCACAAGGAAAGTGAAACCTTCCTCAAATACCGGATCATTGGTGCGCTGACGTACAGTTGTTTCCTGCTGTGTGTTACCAACATGCAGTCGTACAAATGGATCAGGGATGCTCTGTTGGTATATGAAATATTATGAGCATTCATTTAGAGATATAATGCATATTGTAACATACATCTGTTATAAGTAAAATGTAATTTCAAAATAGCCACAATAGTGTATACATAATCCAATATAATGATTATGATATAATACCAATAAAATGTACATAAAGTAGTTAGCATATAATTTATTAATCTAACTTTAAGTTTGGAAACTATTAGATGAATTAAACTTTACCAATAACAAACATAACTTTTCATAATTCCTCTTCAACAAATTGTGCTTAAGATTTACAAGATAAGCATAATACTAAAGAAATTGGAAAAATCACAAAGTACAGTAAAACCTCAATTTAATGGATATCATATTTAGCAGACAAAGTCCAGAAACACAGAACTCCAGAACTGTTCATTACTGTTATGGTCTACTGCTTAACCCTTTGACTGTCGCAGCCGTATATATACGTCCTACGAGGTACCGTGTTTGATGTATATATACTCATAAATTCTAGCGGCTTCAAATCAAGCAGGAGAAAGTTGGTAGGCCCAGTTGTGAGAGAATGGGTCTGTGTGGTCAGTGTGCACCATATAAAAAAAATCCTGGAGCACGCAGTGCATAATGAGAAAAAAAACTCCGACCGTTTTTTTTAATTAAAATGCCGACTTTGTGGTCTATTTTCATATAACATTTATTGTTGTATTCTCGTTTTCTTGGTCTCATTTGATAAAATGGAAAACATATTATAAAAATGGAGGTGATTTTGATTGATTTTACTATAAAAAGAACCTGTAAATCGAGCTCAAAGTAGGGGAAATGTTTGATTTTTGCCAATGTTCAAAAGTAAACAAATGATGTCATTGTCCAATAAATGTCCAACCAGCCATTCTAATATGCAGTCATGAATGGGTTGATGTTATTTATACAATTATTACAATATTGCAGTAGTCTGCATAATAGTAAGTCTTCTATTTTTTGTTTGAATAAAAATTCAAAATAGAAAACAAGAGTAATATCAGAGGGGCCTTGAGACATGACTGATGAACAAAGAAAATGTTATTTTAGAGTCAGGAATGTCTGCATTGTTCATTCTGAACCTTATTTTGAAATTGTCATATTTTTTAATTTTCGTGAAATTGGCCAAATTGCAAATTTCTGACCACATTATTGGGTAGTTGATATCGGTAAATGGGCAGTTTCTTGTACTCAATCGATAGAAAAAATGGAGTTCTAAAGAAATCGCTATGAGTTTGGTCGACTGGAACACCGGAATTAGCCGAAAGTAGGGCTCAAAGTGGGCGAAATCGCCGATTTGTAAATATCGACGAGGTCGCTAACTTCGCGAGAGCATAATTCCGTCAGTTTCCCATCAAATTTCGTTTTTTTGGTGTCACTACAATCAGGAAAAGATTCTCTATCATTTCATAAGATTTTTTTTTTTTTTTTTTTTTTGAAATTTTGTGACACCAGGAGACACCTCAGGATTGGGGGTTGTGACAGTCAAGGGGTTAAATTGGTTTCAAATATAACTGATGAGCTTTGTTTTTTCCAAAATCTGTCCATTATTGTTACTATCTACTGGGCAAATTGATTCTGGATTTAGCAGTCAAAGTCTGTTGTTTCCAGAATTGGTCATTATTATGTTGCAATTATGGAAAGACAATCTCATGGTGATTTGGATTTAATGACAATCAGCATTACTGGACACCCTCTTTACCCTATTAATCTGCTAATTCGAGGTTTTGCTGTACAGTAGATATAAATCTTACCAATTATAAGCATGGACAAACCAACACACCAAAAACCTTGAAAACTTTAATTCACTGAATATTTTCAATAATTCTCACTTGAATATTTGCATAGGCACATGGATTCGTACAAATTAAGTATACTGCTCTGCATATTGGCATTAATCAGTAACATAATCAAGATCTGCACAATGTAAGTACAAAACATTTCAGCCATTGACAGAAGTTTATAAATTTAAATATTGTACAGCCTCTATACATGCAAATAAAACTGAAACTGAAAATCTCTGAATGATCAAAATTCATTAATACATATTAATATTAATTTACCAAAATACACAACATGCTATACTAAATTCTTAGGGCAGTTTGTAAACTGTTTATTAAGATATCCTTATGCATTTAAATCAAATATTTTTATAATTCATCAATCAATGCTCCTTCATTTAACACAGTATTTTCATCAAAATTCATACTTGACATACACATTATTTGGTTACATATCATGACTGTCCTTCAACATACAGTAATAATTATCTGAATCTTATTAGGCAATGATACAGCTTAGCCAACACCAACTTAAATTTGATGGAAAACAGTCATGGTAACAGACATCTTGGTGAAACTGAATTCATTTTGTCTCCAAATAATGTACTAAGGAAATACAGTATACACATTTTCACTACTGATAACTACTTTCTCAAACACACTTTTACCAAGTTTACCATCGTACACTACATCATCTGATCACAGGACAAGATGAACAAAAGAAAGGTGCTTCAGTTATACCTCTTACATTATTTGATTAACAAAAGCAACCAGTAACAGAGCATGCAATTAAAAGTACTAAAACAAAACAAAACCTTAAATGAGTGCAAATAGTGTGTTTATATGCGCATCAACATGCACTGATGTACTGCTACCAGTAAAAACAAATACAGTTGACCCTTGAATAATACAGGTTTGAACAGCGCAGTTCTATTTTTTTGCAAATTTTTTTCAACAAATATATGTACTGAAAATATTTTTGGAGATTTGTGACTGAAAAAATTAAGAAAAAGTTAGGTATCTCACAAATGCATAAAATATATGCAAATACTAGTCTATTTTACCATTTACTACCATAAAATATACACAGATCTATTATATAAAGTTAAAATTTATCAAACCTTAAGCACATAAACTATTACAGATTGTACATGTTCCATTCACAATTGAGAAAAATATAAACAAATGTACAGACCAATACTAAATATAACAGATAATATAAAGTTTTACTTAGACTAACATTGATTGTAACATCACATTGAGAAATATAACAAATGAGGAATTCGAGAAAAAAATGTCCTGGTTTTCATATGTTCTCTTGGTTGTCGACCGACAACGCAAACAGCTAGGGTCATGAGCTCACAAACTCATGTGCTGTAAAAATTTTTTGAACTTTGTTGAGCATCTTGTGAAGTTTTTTTGTTACTCTGCAGTTTTGGTGCAATTTTTTTATTATGAGATAAGGTGTCATGGGTCCAAAAAAGAACCATTTCAATATCCTCACCTGCCTGGAGGAATGTGTCTTCCAGGACCATGCACCATGTAGTCAGCATGGAAGAAATTGTGGCTTGATTTTGTGACAGCCAGGGATTTTGAAGGCTTTCAAGATGAGCTTGAGCTGGTAGAGGATATTGTGTCCCTGGGAAAGGCCTTGGGCCTAGAGGTGAATGAAGGTGATGTGAAGGAGTTGGTGGAGAAGCACAGAATTGAACTCACCACAGAAGAACTTGTAGACCTTCAGAGGGAGCAACAACAGATGCATCAGAGGAGCTGTCATCAGAGGAAGAGGAGGGAAGGGATGATGTGCCCATTACACTTGTCAAGGAAATGTGTGCTAAGTGGCATGATGTGCAGAAGTTTGCAGAAAAATACCATCCAGACAATTCAGTGGCTAGCCGTCTCTTTAACATGTACAATGACAGTGTAATGTCTCAATTCAGACAAGTGTTAAAAGGGAGCCTGAAACAAACCTCATTGGACAGGTTTTTACTAAGACAAAGAACCAGTGATCCAGAACAAGGTGTTAGTGGTGAAAAAGAGACAAAGAAGAGAAACAACACCAGAAACACAGTTGTCTGACATATTAATAGATGGTGACTCTCCTTCCAAGCAGTAACATACCCCCTCCTCTCCTCCACCTTCTATTATACAGTAGAACCTCGGTATGTGACCTTAATTCATTCCAGAAGGCTGTTTGAGTGCCGCTCCGTTTGAGTATCAAACAAGTTCTTCCCAACCAATTTTCTGTTTGGTTGGCTGTTATCACTAATCTTCGTAGGTCCCATGGTGACTTATTTATACAATTTTTTTTATTAACACATCGGCCGATTCCCACCAAGGCAGGGTGGCCCGAAAAAGAAAAACTTTCATCATCATTCACTCCATCACTGTCTTGCCAGAGGGGTTCTTTACACTACAGTTATAAAACTGCAACATTAACACCCCTCCTTCAGAGTGCAGACGCTGTACTTCCCATCTCCAGGACTCAAGTCCAGCCTGCTGGTTTCCCTGAATCCCTTCATAAATGTTACTTTGCATGCACTCCAACAGCACGTCAAGTATTAAAAACCATTTGTCTCCATTCACTCCTATCAAATATGCTCACGCATGCTTGCTGGAAGTCCAAGCCCCTCTCCTTTACCCCCCTCCCTCCAACCTTTAGTAGGCTGATCCCTACCCCGCCTTCCCTCCACTACAGATTTATACACTCTCGAAATCAGTTCTGTTTTGTTCCATTCTCTCTACATGTCCAAACCACCTCAACAACCCCTCCTCAGCCCTCTGGATAATAATTTTGGTAATCCCACACCTCCTCCTAATTTCCAAACTATGAATTCTCTGCATTATATTCACACCACACACTGCCCTCAGACATGACATCTCCACTGCCTCCAGCCTTCTCATTGCAACATTCATCACCCATGCTTCACACCCATATAAGAGTGCTGGTATAACTATACTCTCATACATTCCCTTCTTTGCTTCCACAGACAAAGTTCTTTCTCTCTACAGACTCCTAAGTGCACCACTCACCCTTTTCCCCTCATCAATTCTATGATTCACCTCATCTTTCATAGACCCATCTGCTGACATGTGACATGTCCACTCCTAAATATCTGAACACATTCACCTCCTCCATTCTCTCTTCCTCCAATCTGATATCCAATCTTTCGTCACCTAATCTTTTAGTTATCCTTATCACCTTACTCTTTCCTATAT